ATGTAAGATTAAATCGACAATGGCCCCGGTCCGAGGTGAACCGAGGTGAAGAGCCGCGATGGGCTTTTACGTGTTACTTAGTAAAGTGTTTACAGTTCGGAGAATTCGGAAAAAGTGAGCCCCCCTTACAATTGTCATAGGTCCGCTATTTATAGTAATTTCGGGTTGATACATTGGGATCTGTGCATGACTTTTTGGAATAAAGTTACTTTTTGTGGGCGGTTTGAGGTAGGGGGTCCCACATAAATGATGACGGATCTCGTGGAGCTGGAGGGTTACACGTAGGCGCCTTGTCACCTGCTTAAGGAGGTGACGACCTCGGTTCATGTTGACCTCGGTGGATGTTGATTACTTCGGTCTTTGGTAGTTCGGTCCGGTCTGTCGCCTGAACCGGGGTGGTGTATGTAACAACTTCCTTCTAATGTTGTCTAAAATCCTTTAATGCATGTTTACCGATCCGGATGTGAACAAAGGGATCTCATCGTATTCTTCGTACGGCGGGTCTTGTTGTACATCCTGCGCCGCGTCTGCGAAAGATTGGGCATCACCACCACATGCCCTGTCTTTCCCGAATATGACCTCCCAATCATCGAAGTGGGGGAAAGACTTGTTCCTCAGTCCCTTCGCATTAGGATCAACCTATTGGCGATAGGTTGGGACGCAAAAAATAAAAAAATAAAAATAAAAATAAAAATGTAATGAGAATATGTAAATGATGTGAAATATATAGACGACTCGAGATTTGGTATTTTAAGCAAACCTTCATCAGCGATTGGTACTTATCATCATCACAGGAGAAGCTTTTTGAAACATCATTCCATCCCAAACCCGATTTATTTGCTTTGATATTGGCCAAACTCGCATATGTTTTCTTCCAAACATGCATTTTGGAAGTTATGTGCGGGTCAGCACGAATTTCACATCCTGAAAGATAGGTCTTCATCTTTTTTTCCAACTGAAATGCGTAGCCCGTTCTGAAGCCATTTTCCGTTTTCCACCCCTCGGTTACAATATCCTTTAGAGCATTAACTAGGGCATTCTCTTCAGCCGATGTCCACACACGGCGTTTAGATGTGGCGCCGCCCTCTTTTCCGGTACCCGATGTCATTGATGGTTCCATGACAATTTTGCTGTAGGGACAATAATATTGTAGCAATATTTTTTATTATTTTTATTTTGGGTTAATAGAGAACTTCCAAATAAAAGTATCTAAAAAAAGGTCGTCAAACAAAATGATAAACAACACATTCAACAACATAATATTGTATAATAAACAACAAAAGATAATTTAAAAACATTTGTCACACATACTTAGTAACTAACAAAGTCTTATGAAAGTACACAAGGATAAGTTTGTTTATCTATTAGGGAACACCGCCCTGCCATTCTGTGAACATTTGTTGGGCTAGGAGATCGCGCTTCTGGGTCCATTCGGGACTACTTTCAACTTGATCTATGTAGTCGTCGTCAGACGGTGGGTTGGAAGGTATCGGGAATTCTGGAATCTCGTTCTCGATGGGGTCTTCGGGCATTGTTGTACGTATAAAATTATGAATAAGCGCGCATGCCATGATAATGCGATTTTGGGTCCTAATGGGGTAAAAAGAGTTACTTCTAAGAATTGTCCAACGCATTTTTAGAATGCCAAAAGCACGTTCAATCGCGTTCCTAGCTTTGGCGTGCCGAAGGTTGTAGAGTTCTCTAAAGTTTTGTGGAGTACGGGACCCTGTACCCCATTCATCTAAGTGATATCTGACACCCCTATATGGCGATAGAAAGCCAGAACCATTAGTGTAACCACCATCTACCAAATAATATTGTCCTGTATTTTAAATGATTGTGTTATGTTTGATTGAGTGTTTTAAGGGTGGGTGTTGTTTACACTATTTATTCTATAAAAAATAAAGAGAATACCGTTTGGGACTCGGAGTGAATTTGCCCTAGTGATTGCATCTCTTAGTACTCGATTATCAGCAGCAGACCCCTCCCATCCACAAAGCATGTAGACGAAGTTCATATTTCTATCGCATACCCCAAGTACATTAACCGACACTTGACCCTTTCGATTTCTATATCTTCCCCTATCTTTTGATGGGACTTGCACGTTAATGTATGTACCATCGAGTGCTCCTAGACACCCCTAATGAAAAAAACAAAAAAAAAAAAAAAAAGTATTAGTTTGGAAAGAGTTGATATGAGAAAATTGACTAAAGGTTGGTAAGGGTTGTGTTGTAGGCTACCTTGAACCATTTCCACCGTGCATCTGAACAATCATCCTCAACTGGGTTAGGTGTGGCGATTAGGACGGTGTGAAGGCGGATTACAGCATCAAGTACACGGTTAAAGTACTTGCTTACTGTTCTACCTGATCTCGTAAAATCAAACTTCAAGGTGACGTTTTTCTTGTGATGTGCGAGAATTGAAAGAAACATAGCAACTTGTTCACTCGGTGCAACGTTTCTTGATTGAACAAGACCCCCTAAATTTTCAAGAAGGAAACAAAGGCGACCAAAACAATTTTTGTCCATACGGAGGTTCTCAAGGCACGTGGTGTCACTAACGTCGACTAGCCTTTGCATATGACTCACCTGAAGGCGCACTCTATCCCTCAATCGATATGTGAGTCCGCTAGTCAACGAAGGTCGACGGCGGCGAGGGAGTATGAATTTGTGGTAGTAGTAACTAGCTACTATGAAAAAAAATCAAGCACCAAGAACAATCTCTTACAAAAGAGTGAGAATTAGAAATTTGTCTCGCATGTTATCCATCTACAAAGATTGAACAACATACGGACTTCAATGTGTGTCAAGTCTGTTCAAGTATTTCTACACTATGGAGAAAGGAAGTGTTGAGTTATATTCACACATAACTCCATTTAAGGACCCACAGTAACTTATGGTTTAAAGTCTGGAACATCATTTTTTTACTGCTATTTTGACTTCATTTTGTACCAAAAACAATTAGAACAAACTAAGCACAAGCAAGCAAATCACACCAATCACAAATGCATGAACCAACAGTTCAAAAAATTTATATGTTTTGTGCAAGTATACAAACAACATTTCTGAGCAGTATCATTAATTTAGGCTCCATCATTGACTTGCAATTCTCATCAAACATTAATTTAGGATCCACAAAAACAGCATTTATAGGCATCTGCCTTTGATACATTCAGAAAACTGGTCAATCAGTTTTTCATGCAGACACAGAAGTTAATGAATTGATATGAAGCCATGGTTTTACTAAACCTGGTTTCTGTACATTTTTCCTGTAAATGGTAAGGCAACAGATTGATAGAATCACATAATAGGACTACAACAAGCAAATCTGTACAAACCACCACAAGTGTACATGACATAACAGTTAAGAAAATAATGAAAAAAAACCACCTGAACAATCAATAATGTGGAACATCATGTCTTATCTGATATTTTGACTTCATTTTGTACCAAAAACAATTAGAACAAATTAAGCACAATTAAGCAAATCACAACAATCACAAGTCCATGAACCAGCCCAAACAGTCCCAACTGAAATCATATCAACTTAACACAAATGAGTCATCAAAATTGTACCACATAACAGAGACCTAGAAACAGAGAGCAAATAATTGAATCCATAACTGAAATCATAACATCTTACAACAAACAGAGAAAGGCTGAAACAGAGCACATAACAATGCATGAATTCCCATAAAGCACCAATGGATGAAACAGATTGAACAAGAAAGGCTGAAACCAGTACAACAATGTACTGAACAAAGTAAAGGTTGTATACACTTATGCAAGAATGAAGAATAAAATCATAATATTGTTCCAACTTCATCTAATCAATAGATTCAGCTACCATGATTAGTACAATAATCACCATAACAACAGGATATTAATAATAAAGACATAAGCTGCTTCATATAGCATCATAGAAGAGAACCATAAGGAAGCACATAAGGTATAACTACACAGAACATGGCTCAGTTTTGGACATAAACAAAGCATTTTGGACAGCTCAGTTTTTTTACCATAAATAAAGCAATTAATAGATTGGTACCATGTATCTTATACCAACAAGAATTTTAGACAGCTCAGTTTTGGACAACTAAAGTCATATGCCAAATCTGTATTGGACAACTAAATACACATATTCAATGCCACATAAATCTAAGATACATATTCAGGTGCATAATTCTAAGATACATACTGAAGATAAGATCTTTGGTTTCAGCTATATCTCTGATTTTGAAAGTAAGTTTATTACATGAAAAGGCTTTATCAGGTCCATTTACATAATCTCAGCCAAACAGATATCAGGAGCTGCCACACTAAACAAGCTTCAGCATGTTCACAACAAAATGAAACCGCACCCACACAGCATTCCCATCTGTTTTACCTTGAATTTTAACCACACTCAGCATGTTCACAAGTAATTTAGGCTCCATAAATGTAAATTCTCACCACATTCTCAACATCAAAGAACAGAATGCGGCAGAAAAAACATATCATTAAGTTAACAGAAAACTAAAGAAGGCATAACAAACCACAAAAGAAGAGTTGAATTATATGCATACTACAAATTAACAACCCACAGTAAAGTCTAACAACCACTGACTAGAACATGCTACACTTTGCTCTTCAACTCTATTTAAAACTTACAACTTCTCACATTCTCAACATTCTCACATCAAACTACACAATTCGTCAGGAAAAAATAGCAATGAGTTTAACAGAAAACATAATTAACCACAAATCAAGTAAACAGACCACTAAAATGGAGCTTTCAAAAAGTTAACAAGCCACTGAAGCACAATGGCAGCATTCAAACTTCAACATGTTCACATGGATTATAACAACTAACCTAACTCAAACTAAAACCAGCATTCAAACTTCAGCACCTTACCACACTCAACCAGCTTCAGCAAGTTCACAACAAAATCAAATCAAAACCACACAAAATCTTCCTTTTTCTGTTTTACCTTCAACAATAATAAACTCAACATTTTTCACAAGTAATTTAGGGTTCCAAAATCTAACCTCTGAGCACATTCTCAACATCAAACCACACAATTCAGCAGAAAAACATAGCAATGAGTTTAACAGTCCACAAAACAAGGCATAATTAATCACAAAACAAGTTAACAGAACACTGTAATGTGTGCAGATACATCAATGTCACCAATCAGCATAAAATAAAAAAAGAAATCCAATTTTTCTTGACACAAGGCTCTGTTGTTTATGTACACTTATTTAAATAAAGATAATCTACCAATCATTTTTAGAAGGTAATCTATGACATTATGTTTCTAACTGAAACCACACAACATACCTGTCTCTTTTCTGTGCATCTTTAACCACAATCAGCATGCTTAACAAACAAATAGTTGGGTGTCTAAACACAAAAAAAGACTATGCAAGTTAAGATAAACCACTGGAAAAAATATTCTACACATGTCTCTTCAACTCTATTTAAAACTTACAACTTAAAGCATGCTTCTAAACTCTGAAAATTATGCAGAACCTTACCACACTCAACAAGTTTCAGCTACTTCGCAACAAAATGAAACAGAACCAACACAACATTAACCACAGTCAGAATGCTTAAGAATAAAATTTACTGGCTATATAAACCACATTAACCCACATTAACACACACTCAACCAGCTTTATCAAGTGAACCTTTATGTTTTATATTGAACTTTAACCACAATCAGACTGCTGAAGAATTAAATTTTGTGGCTGAATCATAACTCATAAAATCAGCATGGAAATATAAAGTATAGGAGGCTCAACAATTAATAAAATCAAGCAAGCAAGGCATTTACCACACAAAACATGCTTTTTTTTCACAAACCTACTAACACTTGAACATTCTCAACATAGTACACCAGAGAATTTTAAGCCTGACAACTCATAATTTGCAGCATGTAAACTCAATGAACAGAATATCAAACATTATATCGAAAACGAGGTAAAACCGCAACAAGATGCTAATAAGTTGTTTACCTTCAACTGGCACGGAGAAGAACAGAGTGATATTGGCGACTGGAGATGATGGTGCCTTCAGAGAAACAAACAGTTTGCACAAAAAAAAAAAAAAGAAAAGAAATCGATTCAGAGGTCCGCAAATCTTCAAACAACAAGATTAGGGCAAAATGCTTAAATGAAAAAAGGTTAATATAACACCTTTCCCGACGGAGAATCCGAACCTTAAAGATTAACAACTAGGTCGTCGTCTTATCTGCAGAAATTAGGGCAAAATGCTCGATCTCAACCTTTGTACCACGAATCCTCCGATGAACGGACATAAATGAAATAATGTAGTATGGAATAGGTAAATATGGAGAGTGTGAAGCTAACCTTCACGACGGAGAATCCCAAGCTGTAACCTTCTCTTCAATGGCGCTGTGGCTGCTGCAAGTAGGGCAACAATGAGGTCGATAGGTTTAATTGGTATGAAGATGTAAATTGTGGCAAATTAAGGGGTGTTTTTGTCTTTTTCCAACAGTTTTTGAGGGTAGAATAGGTAAGATAAAATCGAGACTAAATTATCACACCCCCATGGTGGGATTTTTTTTATCAGATAACATGGGTTGGAGCGGCTGCCACATGGGCGCCAGGTCATTAAAATCTCATCCCTATCCTGCAAAGTAAATGTATGATAATCGAGACTAATTGTCTTATCCTGTCCCTAATGACCCCTAAAGCGAGAACTTGAATATGAGCGCACAAATAGGCACTGCAACCACTCCATTTCTCCATTTTGCTTTTCTGCTCAATTACCATTCACTTTTTGGAGTCTGGATATTGGGGCCTTCTTGTTTCAGATTTTTTTCAATCGGTTGGCCCTTTTGTAGTAAGTAAAAGAGTTGGAGATAAGGGGCCTGATTTTAAATGTTAATTAATGAGCTCGAAGTTTAACTCAAAACAGTTATATCATATAAAAATATATTTAATATAAATATAAATATTGATATAATCCGTATTGCCCTCAAACTTAAAAAAAAAAAAAAAAAAAAATAAAAATATTACTTGTTTAAGAAAAAATAAATAAAGTAAAAAATATGTGATTACACAATAAAAGAGTAAAATCAACAATAAAAAATATAACAATCCAGCTAATAAATAATCGGTTTTATAAATCATTAAA